AACTTGACTGTTCTGACCCCCCTCGTCCCACACCAACACACTCTGAGCCAAAGATAAGTTACGGCATTTAATTAACAGACAGACAGGTCCTTGGCAGCAAACCGGCACAGACAAGCTTGGGCAGCAATCCAGTCTGCCAAGCTCACAATAATGTTCTCCAACTTAGTTCCTGCGTTGACTTCTACAAAAAGGGTGTGCACAAGCAGTCCTTTTATAGTCTGGAGAGGAGCCTAATGACCACCAGCTGAGTGCAATTATCTCCTGTAATTGCGCAAGTGTTCCTGACGCCTATTAGCTCTTCGGTGCTGGGCATTGAGGAACAACTCACTGCTGGCATCCGGATCACTCTCCCTTGTCTCCTCCCCACTGGTCCAAGTCTCAGGCACCTCCTGGTGGCCAACCAGCCTCTCTGCGCCCTGCTCCGAGTCGGAACCCTGCCCAGGGTCCTTCACATCCTCCAGAGCCGACTCATAGGGCCCCTCGCTGTCGGAGTCTGGTGGCAGCTCCATCGGCTTCTGCTGGGCCACAACACATGACCATCGGGATGCTGCGACAGTCATTAAGTGTGAAAAATGGTCAGAAGTCACTTTTTAGGGCTGTTCTAACTTTGAACGGTCACTAAACAGATGGTTGTAAGTTGAGGACTACCTGTAGTGAAGGCTACCTGAGTTCTTGATTCAGAGGTTTGGCACCGTAAATGAAAAAAAAAAAATTCAAGTTGATGGCTTCAAGACATTTAGTGTCTTGCAGATGTATACCATGATGCTTGTAAGTACCAGGCCATTAATTTGTATGGTGGGTCCTCAAAATATTTCTATATACTAGTCTGCATAAAAGGAAAACATTAGTAATACTGCAGGGATGTCAAACTCAATTTCATTGAGGTCTGCATCAGGATTGTGTTTGATTTCAGGGCGCCAGGGTGGGCATGGCCAAGATGGGTGTGGCTAGCTCAAAATCACTCGTGCCGGGGGCACTTATGGTGGCCCCAGCGCTCTGCCAGCGAAAACGGGCTTCCAAAAATGGGCTTCCTGTGACAGTTGCCATCCTGCGACGTCTTCCTACAACCCTCTGCCCGCAAAAAGCGCTGTTTTTGCTGGCAGAGGAACCGCGGGCTGGTCCTTTGCTGTTTTCAGGGCGGTCCTATGGGACCAGATCTAAGCACCCCGCAGCTTGAGTTTGACACTCCTGGTATACTGCTTCAAAGGATATATAGGGAAAGGAACACAACAAAACTGTTCCCACATTATTTCCCCAGCCTAGATTGATTTTGTGTATCTGCAAAAATGTGGAGTTGTCCTAATTAATGTTTCTGTACTGGAAAATAGTGTTATTTATTTATTTTTTAAAGGTATAGATCTGTCTGACATGGAAAAAGATAAATCTTATGATTATAAATTTGTGAAATGGATGATTAAATCTAAGGTAGGTTCTGGTTTCTTTTTCCTTCATATTTCATATCTAACTATAATATTTTAAATAAAATTGAAACAGGTAATCCCGATATAGAGATGCAGAGAGAAAAGTTATAGGTCCATAAACGTGCATAACTTTTTATCTCCAATTCTGAATCTTGGCGTTTCACATAGAAAAGATCTTCCTTAGCATAAGCAAAAATGGAAATAAAATGCAACATCCAAAAACTTCATTTAAATAGTTGCCACATAAAAAATCCTTTTTGAATTTGAATTTAATTTTGAATTTACTTTATTTGTATGCCACCCTTTTCCCTGAAAGGGACTCAGGGCGGCTCACAATTCAAGGGAGGAGGAAACAAACAAAGTTACAAAATATAAGACCATACACAGTTAAAAAAAAACAAAAAAAACCCACAACAATCATACCATTCGAAGTGGGGCTACAAGTCTTTAGCCCCAGGCCTGTCGGAACAGCCAGGTTTTAAGGGCTATGCG